CTCCAATCAAGGAGAAAAAACCAGTGGCGAAAAACAGTCAGCCATAAATTTATCAGCGAAACATGAAACGTGCGAGTGGCCAAAAAAGAGAAGATACTGCGATGCGTTTGTTCAGGCTGAGATACTCCGATAGCGATACCCAAAATACAGATACCGATACGGATCCAGATTCAGATTCAAATTCAGATCCAGATAAAGATACATGCAAAAGCAATCAGTGTATTGACCACAACGATTTTTGACATGTTACGCATACAAATTAGAGCAGACTGCCCCTTCATTTTTTCTTTTTGGCCCCAGCCTTTTCTGATTTTTTCTCTTTGGCTCATTTGAAAGCGAAAGAGCAAAAAGCAATCCCCAATAAAGAAGCCAACAAAAGGCAAAAAGGAGAACTGAAAGCAGAAATCGGCAAACAGAAGCCAAAGAAAAGTTGAAGCAGTTAAAGAAAGAATTATATATATAAATAAAAACAGCATGGGCAAAAAAAAAAGAAACGAGTCGGGAAAAAAGTGCTGAAAGGGTAGGAATAAGTAACGCAAAATACAGAAAAAATAAACATACAAAAGAACCCACAGATATGTGGGCGAATGAAAAATGCTCTTCAAAAGGCAGCAAACCTTCTTTAGGGATATATAAATAAATGTTTTTATTAATAAACAGAATAAATATGAAAAGTGGTTGAACAAAACCGAAATAAATATTTTTTAAGAAGTGGAATTTAAGTATTTCAATTAAATATAAATTTGAACGATTTTTCAAGATGTATAATGTATAATCCCAAATGTATAAAGAGCTTAAACCTGAGGATTTATTTTGAATTGAAGAATATTTCAACTTAGGTGTAAATAAATTCGTTAAAATTTAACCATATGCAGTGGATTATAAAAGAGCATTAGAAGGCAAAAAATTCCATCTAATCAAGAAATTCTCAGAGAAATTCAGCAGAAGTGGACAAAAAACTATTGGCATCATCATCAAGTACCCACAACACAATCTATGCTAATGATCCGAAATGTCTTCAAGACCCATTCCCCTCGGTTCCAATTCCAAATTCCAGTAGCCAACGCAATTAGCAAAAGGTGAGCGGGGTGAGGGGATTTTGAGGTGAGGTTCGCCCCCGTTGATTCATGCGTGACAATCGCCGCTGAGTTGGTCAAGAAATGCCATCACGTCAAGCGTTTTTCCAACCAACTTTAATCGCATTCGGAATGCACAAAAAAAGAATAACAAAAAATATATAAAAAATACTTTGGTAAATCAATTAATATTCAAAAGCTGTTGAGTCAGTAGCTTCTAGTTAAGTGCAAAATGAAAATTCAAATAACCCAGAGATTAATCAACATTAATTGATATTCAAAAGCGGGTTCTCTATCAACGCTTCATGCAAATATTTATAGAAATTAATTTTGCACATGCCGGGCAGCAACGTCAAAGCGAAGAAATAAATTGGCTTGGTGTGACAAAAAACTGTAAAAATCATTGACATGCCGATAAAAACCAGCAAGCAAAAGCGACGCATAAAACTTTAGAAAAATATTTATTTTCTGCAAATGTTGGGGAAAATTTTTCTGTAACCAAAACCAATGACGAGGTCGTTTGGAGGGTTAAACAAAAAAGAGAGGGAAAAATCGTGCTAACTTCGTCATCAGTCAGCAAATGTTATTGAATTTTTATCATTTTTATTTACCATTTTATTGTGTGTCCGCAACTCGCGAGCAATATCATTTTAATGTTGAGATACTCTGACTGCATTTCGGCTGTGAATGGAAGTTGTTTAAACAGCTGCCGGTTTAAATCCGCCACCCACCTCAAAAAGAAAAAGCCAAAAAATATAGAGTGCATAAACATGACTACAAATATACGAACCGAGAGATATAAATTCTCCGCTTGCGAGTTATAAATTCCATATGCCAAAGCATCAAAACAAAAATGCGTACTGGTTTCTTTTTTTCCGAATTTTACGCCAGCAAAATAAAACTTTGAGGGATTTTGTAAGGGGGCAAAAAGCTGTATCTGATTCCATGGGGTTGGGATAGAAATTTGGGGGAACATACCCATTTTAAATATTAAGTTTAGTAAATTATTATTTTTCATTTATTTTTTTAATTTTAGATTTCATATATGATTATTTCCTAATTTCGGTTTTATTTTTTATATTTTAAAAATATATCAAAATAATTTCCATGAATTCTTTAAACATTTTTCCCTCTTTCTTTTGTTTATTTAACTCCTACCTTTGCATATCAATATTTCCCCAACAGACACTGAAATTCCAGCTAACTAAACCAATTTATTGTATCCAAAATCCCCTTTGTATCCGTATCCCAGTGCCTCTGGCCGTCTCTTTTCCAGTTTTCCGTGCAATCCAACTTTGATTTTGCAAATGCAAATTGTGAAAATATATATAAATTTTCCTCTGCAGGAAAAGCGCTTCTCATTTCACTGCATCTGTTGCTAACCTCTGTGCTTTCTACCTGTCTCTTTTTGCAGCCCCTGCACCTTCTTTTTTACCCGGTTTTCCCCCTTTTTTGGGGGGCAACACATTTCCGCACACGTCGCTGAATTTTGCACGTAAAAAATGTTTGAAACAAACAAAATATTTGTTTAATTTATTTTAATTTCAAAGTTGCAGCAGTTGCAGATATTTTTTGGCCAGCGGAAAAGGAGGTAAAGCGTGTGTGTGTGGAAAAGGAAAAAACAGGGACAATAACAACTCCGGAAAAGTGAGAAAAACTAAGCCACAATCATAATTCACGCGCTAAAAACAGCAGCAGAAAAGCGGGGAAAGCGGGGGGAAAAAGAAGTTTTAGGAGCGCAGGCACTTGGAAAAGCCAGGAAATGAAATGAATGTGGAAAAACTCAAAGGGAAAGCGGCACGGACAACCGAAAAAAGGAAAAGGGCGACAGTTAGCAGGTAGACAAACGAAAATAAAACCCAAAGGCAGACGAAATAAACATAAAAACCCGAAGAAAACGAACACAAATTGTTGCAAACAGCCTTTCGAGATGTTCTTAAGCAATATCCTGCGTTTTCTCCTTGAGACACACACAGGATTTTTCGAGGAAAACTCAGCCAAATTGGAAGGCACTTCAAGGCTCAACAGGAAAAATGTCACGAAAATTAGGGAGATGGGGTGGAAGAAGAACAGAAGTAGTGGCTAAAAATAAACTAGAAATATGGTTTGGAAAATGTAGTTTTTGAGATTAAAATACTGTACTGTTTTAGAAACCGATGATAAAATTTTGTTTTTATTTTTCTGAAAGATTTGTTCTATTTTTTTCTACAGCAAAAACATTAGGTTTATTATTTCCTTGCCTCCTAATTATTTGGCCTAAGCCGCAAAAGGTTTCAAGTTTTCCCACTCCTCGTTGGTAATCTTTTAATGTGTTTTTAATGTCGGATCCCTCAACCCCTGGAAGTATTCCCTCTCGACCACTGTCATCAAATCTAATAATGCCCCCGAGTTGAGCAATTCCCCAGAAGCTTGAGGCCAACAAAACCATTCGCAGAGAGTTCATTGATTTCTGATTCTTGTTTTTTTTGAGTCGGAGGCGTTGACAGTTAAGCTGCAAAGTCAACTTTTACGAGTAGTTCTCCGTAAAAGCGCTAGAAAACGCGTGTCAAAGGCCCAATTAAGATGTCAAATCAACACGTTTTATTTATTAAATGATTACGCACACACAAAACACAGCGAAGAGGAAAATGCGGGAAGCGCCATAAAGTTAATGGTGCAATATATATCTTTTTAGAGGGGGTAAAAACTAATCGCAGACAAATTAATAAAGGAGCTGCTCCTCTTTTCGAGTTCCCTTGACCGATTTGCCCGATTGACTGGATATAATTCACATTTAAATTTAGCCCCAGCCCTTGCTTGTTTATCCACCGGAGTTCTTTAAGTATTAAAAAGCATTTTGTAAGCAAAGTATTATATGTGGAGAAGGGAAAAACTTTGTTGAAGCGTGCCAAACTAAAGTTTTCTTATATCCCACTATGTCCCCCTGTTTTTGTGCTACTTTTCTTGGGGACAGTGAATATTCTTGCATAATAAAAGCTTTCCTCTTGCTGATTCGGAAATTATTAATGATTTACCCAAGGTTGCAACAAAATTTATCGATAAGCTTTTGATATTTTTAAAATACAACCGTTTTGATAATTAATACAATTTTAACAGCTCTGTTTTATCGATTTCTTTCTTTTTTTATAATCCTTCTGAATACATAGTTTTATTTATGGAATATTGACTGTACTTTAAGTTTAGATTCAATATCGAGAGCTCTCTCGGTAACAGTAAATGCTGCCAATTGACAGGATCGAAAGTGAGCTGCTGAAACGTAGAGGGGGGTGTGGAAAATCGGGTGGAAAATTGCGGAGGAGGCTTGAGGAGCTGATAAAAAACTTTATGCTGACGTCAAGCTGCAACAACAAAGATCAACAAAAAACTAAAGTGACGTCGCAAGGTGACAACAGCAAAAGCGACATTGGAAAAACGGTGGGGAGGAAAATACCAAGGAAAATTGATGAAAAAAGGGGAGCCTGTCATAAACAGGGGATGTCAAAGGAGGAACCGAAAGTTTTAATTGATTTGTGATATGCGTGTGCCAAAAACAACGCAGAAGCAAGGGATAAATTAGAAATTACTCGGTAGTAAATGGAAAAGAGGGTCAGAATCTGAATTTATAAAGATTAAAGACCTTTCGTATTTCGAATAAAAATTCAATCTAATAAATAAATTGTAGATTGCTAGTATTATAAATAACAAAATCCCGGATTAATACCTGGAATTTCATGAGATAGTCTTTCCAGGAATAATCTTAACCTGCCTTATCAAAATTTAAAAAAGTCGTAAACAAAACAATTAAACTCGACGATGGGAAAAATTGTTCCAAAATTTAAGATTTAATTTTGTTGGACTTTGTTATTAAATATAAATATTAAAAAATTTTATTGGTTTATTTTCATATCAGCAATAAACAAACAAGGGAAAAAGAAATAAACTTACCGATAAGAAAAAAGTTCCAAATATTTAGCGTTGATCTCCTCGAACTACTGCCATCCAATATTGCCGTCTCCTTCATGGCAATTCGTCGCCTCATTTTGCCAATATTTTTTATATATATTTTTATATGCTTCTGCTGTTTATTCCTTATATTTTGGGTGGGTTTAATAGCTACTTCCGATTTCCTTTGGCAAAAAAAAGTTTTGCTATTATTGCAGCAATCCAAAGGGTTCTTTGAGCTTCTTCTAGCTGCTGCAGATGTTGTTGTTGTTGCAACGCTCCATTGCGTTGGTAAATGTCTTATTTTTTATTATATGTGGATATATTATGTATTATTTATTGCACATGAAACTTTTAATGGGTATCCAAGAAAACGAAGAAGAACAACTGAAAATGGTTAAGAATGATGAGGTTAGCTAAAATTTGATTGAAAGATATTGAATTTTTTGTTTATTTGGAGTTTTTACTTTTTTAAGTTTTTAAAGATCTGTTCTTTAAGTATTTACAGTCTCTTAGTTTTTTATATTTAGATTTATGAAGTTTTATGGAAGATGGTTAGGGGTTTTTAGTTCCATTTTACAGGGTTCTTGAGGTTTAACATTTATTTTGTGTGATTTGGTCTTTATAAACGATGTTTTTTAAGTTTTGTTTAAGAATATTCTTCGTTTATTTGTGTTTTAAACACAGATTAACAGTTACACTGGGATTTCACTATTTTTTTAATGTATTTTTTCTTCCAATGTTTTAAATTAATTTGGTCGTAATTTCATTGTATTTTGTTGGTTTTATACTAGTTTTAAGTATTCTTCCTAGCGTTTCTCCTCTCTATCACTTTTATCTTTTCTTCACCTTTTCTACCTCTCCTTTTTTCACAGTTATAATTGCATTTATGCTTCACACTATTTCGTAGTTGTTGTTTGGGAGTTGCAACATGTTTTTATTGCTTTTTTTTGTTGTACTTTTGAGCAGGTAAGAAAATCACTTAAGAGGTTTCCAAGAAGCACACACAAAGCCACATTGGGACACACAGCCACACACGCACACACGTTGGAAGGCAAACCTGTTTTCCAGGTAAATCGGCAAAGGTGTGCGCGTGCGAGGGGGACAGGGCGATCGCCACAGATCGCGGATGGAGAAGAGAGGGAGAGAAAGAGAGCGAGATGACGCAGATGCTGCGTCTTTTTTTCTTATTTATTTTAGCTCTCTTTTTATTTTCTTTAAATTTTAACTGTTGTTTGTTTAAAATAATTTGTTAGAGATTTTTGTTAAATATATATTTCAATATTTTCAAATGTTTTTGTTTGTTTTTTGTTTTACATTTTTTAAATCCAATGAAATACTCTCACTATGCACACATATGTTTAACAATTTGTTTTAATTTTTTTTACCTTAAATGTAGTATTTTTTCTATGATTTTTGAACAATATTGTAACCGTTATATTTGTTGTTGTTGCTCGCGGACACGCGAAAATCGGAAAATCAGCGGAAAACGACGCGCACTCACTTTTTCTGAACCTTTCGAACCGAAAATGGAAAACACACAGAAAACAAAATTGCGAGCTACAAACCACGCGGTTTGAAGCAAACCTATGTTTCAAACATGTTTTACGACAGAGAGGTTCGAGTGAGGGCGGATTGCAGCTCTGTTACGTTTACCTACGTAGCTACAGCTACATTTCTATGAAGTTAACATGGGTTTGCACGGTTAACAGCACCAGTTCGAATGGATTTTAGGTTAGGTTCGATAGCAAACCACTCTCTCTTCCTCGAAACTCTCTTAGCACTTTCTCTTCGCACTTAACAGCTTAACATTTTACTTGACAAAAACAAAAAACTGTTGTTACGAACACGCAATGTCTACATTACTTACCAGCTTTGTATTTAATTTTTTTCAAAAAAGTTCTATGAATTTTGAAAGTATAGAACTTAACAAGTCCTGTCAAAAGAAGTTTATCTTCAGAACTATTTATTCGAACCATTTACAATTACAAATTACCATTACAAATTTTTCATCTCATAAGCCATTTATGAAACAAGCTGGTTATGAGATGGGAATGTTAAATTGTAGTTTGTTCAAATAAACCGTTCTGAAGATAAACTTATTTTAATTTTAACAGAGCTTTTTAAGTTCTTTAGGGCTAGTACTCAACCCAACAAAAGGACGTTCAAAACAAAAAACTTCATATGAAAACAACAATAATTTTTTTTTTTTGTTTCATTTGAAATGTTATGTTTTGGACGACTTTTTGTTGGGTGAGTACTAGCCCTAACTTTAACAAATTCATGGCACCGTTGCTTAACTTCACTTATTGACACACTGCTGACCGCTGGTTTAAGCAGGCCATCCACAATCGAATTCGTTCGACGAACATTTTCGCGAGCACAGGCAAGATAGATTCGTTTCTATCTTTGTCAAACAAATTCCTATTAAATTTAAACGCGAACACACACTTTTTTTCTAAATTTTTTACCACTGATCCACAAAATCTTTTTCACTTACCAAAATTGTATCCAGGAAAGATCCTCACTCGACCAAGTCCAAAACGGAAAAGAAAGAATAATCGATATGAGCCAATCAGTCTTGCCTATCGAAAGTGTGACCAGAGTTACTACACTATGACGTCTATCGAGCGCGTCTTTCCAGTGTTGGAAAGACGGAAATTATTTGAATTTTTTACCATTTTAAATTCTTGAGGCGGTTACAAATCGTTAGTGGGAAACTCGGAGCAGGGCTTCACAATCTGAAAATCAATGGGCGCGTTCAGCAGAACAATGATACCTGACCACTGATGGATTTCTTACGATAGTTCTGCTGAACGCACATGATTACCAATCATTATGCAAGAATTTTGCATCAGTGATCAGGTATCATGTAGCGTAAGAATAGTACGCTACCTTTTCTTGATATGGCTTCTGGCATGTATCGATAGTCGAAAAATCGAAACTTATTAACATAATAATTTGAATAAAAACCATAAATTGCGCGCGCACTGTCTGATATATTTGTTTACTTTTACTCCATTACAATGTATCATGAGCGTTCAGCAGAACAAACTTGATCACTGATTACACAGAAACACAAAATTAAACTTTGTGAAATTTCCACGAACCATTTCAAGTTTTCCATGATATTTGGGTGCTCCTGAGTAAAAGTCCCATACAAAATTATTTTCCATCACCTACAGGTTCCGCGGTATAGCTAAGAATACAAAAAACCGATGTTTGCCGACATTTTGAATTACGTGGCCTATATAATTGGACCAACCTTTATTATTTTCGGTAGGACCTACTCTCAATACATCAAGGCATTCCTAAAAAATAGTCCCCATTGTGAACTATTGCCCATGTCTTTGGAATTCGACGCCAAAGTTGAAAATCCCAAAATTGTAGAGATTTTTCTGATAGAAAAACTATTTAGGAGTAGATAATGAAATAAAAAAAACGGTTTTATTAGTATAATAAATCCAATAAAAAATATTCTCATGAAATCGCTTTAAACCGAAATTAAAGCATACAATGAACAATAAATATAATGAATAGTTAAAATTACTTCCATTCAAGATTAAATCCTCAGAATTGTTTTTCCATCAGAAAAATCTCTACAATTTTGGGATTTTCAACTTTGGCGTCGAATTCCAAAGACATGGGCAATAGTTCACAATGGGGACTATTTTTTAGGAATGCCTTGATGTATTGAGAGTAGGTCCTACCGAAAATAATAAAGGTTGGTCCAATTATATAGGCCACGTAATTCAAAATGTCGGCAAACATCGGTTTTTTGTATTCTTAGCTATACCGCGAAACCTGTAGGTGATGGAAAATAATTTTGTATGGGACTTTTACTCAGGAGCACCCAAATATCATGGAAAACTTGAAATGGTTCGTGGAAATTTTTGGCTGTGTACCTGTGTTACTGATCCATCAGTGATCAAGTATCATGTTGTTCTGCTGAACACGCCCATTGTATTTTTCGATATTTAACAACAAATTATAAATAAACAAAAATATGGGGGATTTCTAAATAAGCACCATACTTGTTTTTTGCAGCTTTGGCGACTTTCGATTAATGTTTATGACACCTGTTCGGGGTCCCAGAAAGTGATTTCTGGTAGTTCATTTGTTTAAGCGACACGCTCTTTAAACTATGTTTAATTAGGCAGACAAAGTGTCCAAGTCTAACCAACTAACTAGCACAATTATTAAATAAATAATAAAAACAAGAAAGGAAGTAATTTCGGCCAGCCGAAGTTTATATACCCTTACAGGTATGCCTACTTAAAATGTTATTTTTACATTGTCAAAAATCATATGGAGCCATAAGATATAGTGGACCAATCCGGCTCGTTCCGACATATGTACTACCTGCAATAGAAAGAAGACTTTCGGGAAAGTTTCATCGCCATAGCTTTAAAAGTGAGGGACTAGTTCGCATAGAAACGGACAGACTGACAGACGAACATGGCTAGATGGACTCGGCTATTGATGCTGATCAAGAATATATATACTTTATGTGGTCGGAAATGTCTTCTTCACTGCGTTGCAAACATCTGACTGAAATTATAATACCCTCTGCAAGGGTATAATAATCACGTGGAACCCATTGGCTGCGTTCAGCAGAACAACATGATCACTGATCACTGATGGATCAGTAATCAGTAATCAAGTTTGTTCTGCTGAACGCTCATGATACATTTCGACGACATAAAAGTAAAATATATAACAAATATTGCGCGCGCAATTTGAAAATATATATTTTTCCCGCCCCCGCAACTGCAGCACTGCTCACAGCTATCGTGGATACATAAAAATCAAAAATGGCTGAACAATTATAAAGAATTCCACCGAATTTATGGTTTTTTCTAAAATTATTTTGTTAATAAGTTTCGATATTTCGCCTATCGATACACGCCAACAGCTATGTATCATGTATCAAGAAAAGGTAGCGTACTTTTTTTACGCTACCTGATCACTGATCACTGATGCAAAATTCTTGCATCATGATCAGTGTTCATGTGCGTTCAGCAGAGCTATCGTAAGAAATCCATCAGTGATCAGTGATCATGTTGTTCTGCTGAACGCAGCCATTCACTTGCGATATTGAGCTAGTTCCGATATCGATTGAATATCGCATACATCGATACCCCGAAAAATAGACCCCTGGCACCGCGTGCTTTTTCATCTTTCATCTCTTTCTTTGGGCGCAATTGCGGATTTGTAAAATTTAACTTTTTACTTACTTTAACCAACGAACAAAGGTAAGCAAACAAATTAATGCCTGTTCACGGGTGTATAGTTTTCGTTCTTTTTTTATTCAAAGATGAAACCGGAGCGAAAACAAGGAGGACGAGGGGGACGCGGGCGTGGTGGCGCATTTTACCGGGCCGATG